ATAGAGCAAGACAGAGAAGCTGAACTTCCAATTATCATAATGGTATCGACTTCACAACACATTTTCAAACTTGAAAGAGACATTTTAAACCATAGGAATTCTGAGCAAAATACCTCCAGCTGTGTTCTGCATAAATCTTGCACGCTGTACATACACAGTTTATTTAAATACCAAGTAAAGTTATGACTTACAAAATGCATATTTCAGTCACAATAGAATATATGTCATTGCCAAAAGGTGCTACTCATTGAATGAAAGGAACAGAAAACGATGAATTGAATTAGAAAAAGAGAAGAAAAGACAGCATCTTTCCATTTGATGTTTTACTCGACTGACGTAGTATTTGAAAGAACAACACATTTATTAGCTGTCTGCAGAGTTAGCATTTTTGGGCCCCCCAGAACAGAAGAAAGAAGAAAAAGGTGGACCCCAATGTTAAATTATTTTTTGCCTATATTGCATTTTGGTCACAAGCCAGAATTTCTGTCACTAATGCTCTGCCCATACTAAAATCAATATATTTGTGAAAACAAGTTGCCCAATTCTCTGACGATATGGAAAAGCCAAACCAGAAAAGGGGCTCAGTCCCCCCCTATGTTTCCCCTTTCCAGAAGCCTTAAGCAAGTCGCAGGTACAACACGAACACCCAGGAAGCAGGACCCCCGCCCCTGCCCAGGACCGAGGCACCGAGATGACAGCAAGCACACAACTGAGGCTACACTCACATGTGATTTCGCTAAGCCCCAGGGCAATACCAGAACATCTCAATGTGATTCTGAAGAAAAGTACAACTCTGAACGACGGCAGGTCTCCTATGCTGTCTGCCAGGGCGAGCTCAAACTGAACTGTCAATCATGGCACGCACACAAATGTCTCATTCTGCCGTTAACCCTATCGCATTTTAGGCTTTCATTGTATGAGCTCTATCACCTATCCATGCAAATCATTACAAATAATTTTGATTTACTACCTTTCACGTTACTCTTTTTGTGCTACAAAAGTACAAATTGTACACTCCAGCTTATACCCAGTCCATAATGTGGATGGTGAAAGACCAGAGCGGCACAACTTTTCTATTAGGAAGCTCTATTAGTTTGTTCCTAGGCTGATCAAATATTCTAATTTTTATCATTATTTCATCAAGTTTGCCTGCTACTGAAATCTACTTTACAAATCCAAATATCAAAATCTCTTCTACCATCTTCTTTCAAGGGAAGTAATACTTTCTGTTCAGTTGTACAGCTGCTCATGCTGGTGAGAACATAAAT